GCCCAGAAAGCCAGGTAGGTCCCGCGCGGCGCAAGCGAAAACCTCCCTGTCATTTCCCGGACAGTTTACACGGAGGCGGCGCTAGTGTGAAAGCTATCGGGTTTCGAAAGCAAACAATCTTTTCGAAAAAGACCGCGGTGGAGCCGAAGTCATCCAGTAATCCACGGTCGAATCAATATCGAAAGATCTAAATCGATAGATAACACTGATGAGATAGGAATCTATCGATCGGAATGGTTCGATATCGAACCGCAGTGAGATCCAGCGCCTGGATTGTTGAATCATTTCTCGATCGATAGATGACACTGCCAATATAGAGGTTTATAGATCTAGGACTATCGATATATCGATCCAAGAATCGGCCGGCAGGACTTCCAGCCTTTCAATTTTCCATCGGAGCGTGCCGGCGCGGTTGATGGCTTTCATCCGTGATCCGATCCCAAAAAGGTCACCTGCAGCTTGGGTTGCGTTGTCCGCTACCGAGTTTATAAACATCTTTTGTCCGCGGGGATATTGATCCTGATTTCTGCGGTCGAATTGATTCCGTCGCTCCAACCGCCCCCGCAACACTTGTTAATAGTGACCGGGGATTAAAAGATGTGCCGCCGTGCTACGCGACTCGGTCCTCTGAGAATTGGATGGGCCCCCCGGCCCCCGCCCCCATGCGCCTTCTGGGGGCTGGGCCCCGTGGCAGTCAGGGGGTACCATCTAGTGATACATGTTTTACTCATCAAAATTTCACGTAGAGGACGATTTTTACCACGAAAATTGCTGAAATCAATCGCTAATCAAGACATTAACAATTTCCGAGGTAAAAATTTAAACTTCACGGTCATAGAGAAAACAAAAAGCCACTTGCGTTCAATCGCATACTGAACGTTAACGAAACAGTGTCCGTGGTATCATTTTGTTTTTTTTTAACAATGAATGTTTTATTCAAGCACAAATTGGGACCCCTTAACGATGAAACTCAGGACTCGGAGCTATAAATTACAAACTAAAAGAAATAATTTATTTAATATAATAATTCTACGAAATATCTAAATAAGTGACTTCTTAGTCCACGACTGTTTAACCTCTGTGCTATCATTACTATAAGCTCTGTAACAACTAAATTTTCATTTTTTGTTGCATTTCGTTCTAGCATGCATTTTACTGGGCCGATTCCCAGGATTTTCAGGTGATGGTCCTTAGATGAGCTCGCTTTATTCATATTATGGAAACTTAAATAGCGCGCAAAGTTGTCCTCTTACTGTATCGTCATGGTATCGTCATGGCTAAAGCGCCTACCCCCTTGTCAGATTATGGCAATCTTAGTCTCGGCGCATCGGCTCAGCTGTTGCATGTGGTTTAGACTTTAAACAAGAAATGAACACTGCTCGATTGAGGAACCTGCCGAACCCGTTACAGTAAGCGATTTGATTCCAGAAGACTCTGATTTTTCTTGTGAGCGAAAAATTCAAGTTTTTCGTAACCGGTCTACAATAAAAAAGCTAATATCATGAGCAGGAGTTAGTTCAGTAATTTTCGTTACGAAATTCGTGTTTGTTGTGAAATATTGAAGAGGAAACTTATATCAATAAATAATAAGACTCACCTTTATACCGTACATTACATGTATATTTTAATTAAATTTGTACATACGCTCGAGGCCTTTCGGGATTACCCCATCTTCAAGAGCACTAAAATTACACACTACAACAAGCACATAATTACAATGATGGGGAAAAAGAGGATGGGGTAATCCTGAAAAACGTCGAGCGTACGTACAAATTTAACTAAAATAAATGTAATGCACGGTATAAAGGTGACACTTATTTCATAGAAATTTTAAATACCGCTACCAACATGTTTAAATATATCAATATACTTAAATTTGTACCTTGTACAGCGGTCCGTATTAGACAGAATCAGGTTATTAGTGATATTTGCGTTTTCTGCATGCACCTATAAAATATCAAGATATTTTTCTAACCACTGTTCAAAGCGTCAATAGGAATAGTGGTTAGAAAAATCATTTGAGATTTTATGAGTGTATGTTTCTGAGAGCTCACATTTTCAGGCATCAGCTATCACCCGGTACTATTTCATGGCATTGAAATTTTCCTTGTTTTCAAGCCATGCTCTGGGAGTACGCGGTTTCTATCCAGTATAATAATGAGTTTTGAGATTGATTTTTGACCCGAGATCCCTGAAAGTGATACCCTTTTCGGGACCTTCCGAAATCGAGCCGCTCAGCATCAGAGGGATAAATGATCTGGTGGATCAAGGAGCGTCGGAGTTAAAATAAAGACCACCCAACTCGAATCCTATAATTTTTGAATATATGAAAAATTACATTAGCAAGCACCCATGAAAGTATACATTTATAATTTCTGCGTAATAGACATTTTAATTTTGTTGCCTTATAAATGCTGCAGCCTGGTGCATCATTGCCAAGTGGGGACTTGTAACCGAATTATGTGGAGTTCTTTCTAACCATTATTCTCCTCTTGGAGCAGAACCCTTAACCGAGGAGAAGAGCAAAGAAATTTATCCTCTGAAAATGGAAATCGTCATCTTCCGGCCAAATTATCACAAGTGTCATGCGACGTTTCAAAATTTCCGCCGCCATTTTCTTTGCGCTGCCGATAAAATTCAGTGCAATTTTAAACAGATTCAACCAACAATTTCACTGTAAAAAAATAAGATGGAATGAAAATCAAAATGAAATTTTGAAGTGTTGCATGGCGCTTGTGATACTTTGGCCGGAAGGTGATGAATTGTCTCTACCTGATATTAAAAAAAAAAAAAAAAAAAAACTAATATTTAAANAAAAAAAAAAAAAAGACATGTCGGAGCCAAAAGAAAAACTATTTTCTAAAAATTTTAAGTTAGATCCATGCCGACTTAAAAATTTGTAAAAAGAATAGAATTTTTCATTTTCCGTATATTTTGTGGTGTCAAGTCATAGCAATCCCTTGCAAAAATCTTTTCATGAAGGTAATCTGTTGAATTTACTCAAGACTTGCTCAAAAACTGTCCTCTAAATGATGCTACTTTCAAGGATTCCTAATCATGAAGTAAACTATAGAAGACTTTCCTGATGAAAGTGAATTTAGCCTTTATTATCGAAATTCATTTTCCGGCTGCAACTATGTAATACTATCCACTGAAATTTGGCATCAATGGTCTCAAAACGAGGGTTCGACCCGTGCCGCGGAGCCCCTGTTTATGTTACTCATTCCGCCTTTACGCTTTTTTGCACAAGGATAAAACATGTTTGCCCAACGCGGTTATTCATACAGTGATTCGATGCGAAATAGAGTAAGATGAAAAAGTGAGGAGTTGATGATGGCAACGGGCCAATCTCCTCTGGCCAATGAGAGGCAGCGACACATCTGCGACCGCACTCGGCCCTATTTGCTCAATCATCCCTTCATATCAAATATTTAGGAGTGCCCCATCCCCTCGATCTATCCTCTCATTGAACGAGGCCACGCCCTCTTTGATAAATCGAAGGCTAACCATTTTTTTTAAGCCTCGATTTGTAGGTTCTGTCAATTCGAATGTGCGGGCTGAGTGACTTTGCCCGACTTCTCATAATTATGAATATCTTCCGAAGTCTTACATTTTTGTCCGCTTATGGATGGTCGCGGGAGGGACTGAGCTACAGCAAATGTAGCTTTTTTTCAATACATTCCTGCGCAATAAAGTTCTGTCAACAATCGCATTCGTTTTATGAAAACAATAACAATTTATTTAATATTTTGTCCTTAAATATATTTGTAAAATTAAATCTATATTACATGAAAATATTGACTGATTGATTGGGGGGGAAATTGTGTGGGAGAAAACGAAGGGTACCGAACTATTCTATTCAGTCACGATCTTATTTTAAATAATTCTATACCAAAATACAGCGACTATACTGCATAATCAATGCACAATTATAGTAATTAAAGCTCTTAAAAAATACAATTTGATGTCGAGTAAAATAATGAGGAATGTGTACGATCACTGGAGCGAGTAGAGCCAAACCTAGATTTTTCTTGACAGAACTGACATTTACCAAAAAATAATATTTCGAAGAAGTGAAATTTTTGCTCGATACCACGCGGTAAGCAAAGTTCAAATCCATTAGCTCATGAAATTGCCCGAACGACTAAGGTAAATAGACACAACTCGTCTGATTTCTCCTCTAAAATGATATTAATTTATAATGTATTTGTTTTTCATTTCCAATATATATTTCGCTTTTGACGAATTACTGTCTGCGTTCGTTGAGGTGATAGAACCTCCAGCTCTTATACTTAATTTCACTTTAATTTCGTTGGCTCTGTAGCTAGTACTGTTGCTAGCACTAGCTGTAGCAGCAATTCTTATGCATCGGATTTTGCGAAAAAACGCCAGAGCCACTGTTTTCATTTTTTTTTCTTTTATTTTTTTCTTTCTTTTTTTTCAAAAATCAGTTCCAAATATCAGGAAACGGCTCTCAGTAAATTAGTCTTCCCTCGTACAAGCCTTGATCGAGGTCTTACCTACCGTGCCTCGCTATAATGTCAGCTTTGAGGAGTTTTTTTGAGGTTTGAAATCAATGTCAGATAAAACCAGAGGCACCATTGACTGAAAAAAAAATTCTTGAGATATTACTTTGACTTAAAGCATCGTTTCTTGTCGACGAAATTTGGTTTTTTTTTTTTTTTTTTTTTTTTTTTTTTTTTTTTTAGTTAAATCCGTGTGGATTTAACTGTAAGTCAGTTTTTTAGTAGAAAAGGCGTCGTTTAAAGTTTAAGTTCAAAAAACGGCAGCAAAACAATGTTTCTTTACCTCGCAAAAACTGACTTGAGGTTAAATCAGCACTAATGTGACTCCAAAAAACCAAATTTTGTCGGCTGAAAACGACGCTTTAAGTCAAAATAAATCTCCAGAAAAAAAAATTTTCCGTCTGTCCTCTCCGCGAGATTTCACTCAAACATTAGGGGTTAGTTCTAAAATTTCCATTGTATAAAATAACTAAATTATTTTCGTTAGATCATTTTGCAGCAGCAGTTTTAAGGGATGATTTCGTTGTCTTTTATATCGGGTTCCGTGGGCTCCAGCCCTGCCTCTGTGCCTGGCTCAGTGACAGCTGAATCGATTTCTGATTCCTCCTGCTCTTCGTCTATTTCTTCTTGATCGGCCGAATCACACACATATTCTCGACAAGTGGACGAGTCTCTCCTGACAGCTGCATCCCAGTAGATGGACACGAGTTTCGAGTACTTCGCTGGGATCAACTTCAAGTTGTCGAATAGCCTGCAACCAAAATAGGAAAAATTATTTAAGTAGGTGGAAAAATTGAATGCAATGGAGCTCTTGCGTGTGTCAAGAATCTGCAATTTAAGTACCGATTTCTCAGTAAAATTTCGCGAGAAACACGATGGTGCCACCGGTTCTCTCTGAAATAAACTCCAACGCTCATGAAAAGCTCTCTTTGTAAGTTAAGGCTGTAATGGAGAGAATATCCCGCGCTACCCTGAGAGTCCATCTCTACTTGGAGAAAAAAACCTCGTGCGAGGGACCCGAAGTTTAGGTCATATGGATCTCTGAAGTTTTTAGATTGAACATCTGAACACTTTAAGTCTAGCTGTCGAGGTTCGAATCACACATTTGAAACTTCAGTTCTTACATCTGAAGTACTTCAGATTTGAGAACCGAAGTTTTTCGGATGTGAAAAGCAAAGTACTTCAGATGTAAGAACTGAAGTTTCAGATGTGTGATCCAAACCTCAGCAGCTGGACCTAAAGTGTTCAGATGCTCAATCCGAAAACTTAATGACCTAAACTTCGGGTCCCACGCACGAAATTTTTTCTCCGTGTATATCAAGACAAACTCTCTGTGCGAAGATAAGGAGCAAATACATTTACAGGGTTGCCACCTTCTTTCTAATATATCTGTATGTTGAGGGAATATATGTTTCCTATGATGATTGCGCAAGCCGAAAGGCCTCAAGGATGAAATAAATAATAAAAAAATCGCAGCATAATGGTCAGAAATTGAAATATTTTCGTTACTTCTAATTGTATTTTCATTTTAAGTTTTGTAACTTGGTCCCCTGCAGCTTGCCCATATGGATAATGGAAGCGAAAAACACCGTCAATAATCCGTGCGCATGACGGTAGGTGATTTTGCCGATCCTACAATTTGAAGGCTCTTCAGTTTTCATTTATTCTCCTCGATTTTTAAATCAAGGCGATGCTCTGCCGTGCTAAGGAAGAACGCCGTATGAGCCTTCAGGCGTTGCCGAGTTTCAGTCGATAAAAACCGAATTTACTGGGAAAATTTTGAATATTTTTTTCCAACGTTTTCAGACAATTTTGTACGCAATTTACTCTAAAATATCTGAAAATTTCAAAGAAAAATGTGCATAAATTTCGTCAAAAATACATGTTTTATCGAAGGAAATTTGGCAACTCTCAAATGTTCATACGGCGTTCTTCCTTAGCACGGCAGTGCTGTAGTCTCACGCGAGGAGCGAGGCTTGCGTGCAATCTAAGTGCGACGTGATGAATCATCGATGGTGAGACGAGAGTGACTCGTATCCTGCTTTGCGACGTTGCAAAATTATACTTTTGTAGACCAAAACTCATGATAAATGGCTGTACATCATAATTTTTATCACTGAGTATGTCTATGGACTCAAAAATACTGGTGAGATTTCAGTTAAATAGAATTTTCAGGAAGATCAAGGGAGGTAAAGTCATTTACCCTGTAATATCCAAGACCTTCTGAAATCAACCTTGAGATTTTGATATTTTTGAGGTCATGGATTTAAGCGTTACGAATTATAGGGGCTGGACATATCTCGTTAGTTTTCGTTCGTAACCGTTGCCCGTTTTTGGAAAAAAAAAACTCTAATACGAAAGAAAACCAACGGGTTATAGATTTGACTGAAGGCACTATTGCAAAAAACCTCTCAGAGGAACAAATATTTTGACCCACGGAATACAATTCTGTAGTTTAGGTGTTTAATACTACAAAAATTTTTCTTAAGATATTATTCTGACTTAAAGTGCCGTTTCTTGTCGACAAAACTTGGTTGTTTTTAATGAAAGAAACGTTGCTTTGCTATCGCTAAATTTGAGTTAAAAAAGCGATAGCAGAACAACATTTCTTCAACCCAAAAAAACCAAATTTTATCATCAAGAAACGACGTTTAAAGTCAAAATAACATCTCAAGCAAATGTTTTTTCAGTGAAGCCTGGGACGCGACCTCGTTTTAAATTAGAAGTCGTCCATAAATATAACGTCAGGCTTTCCTTCTGACCCAAGTGAGAAACCACATATCTCCATTGCGATGTTTCAAAATTTCTGCTCTTACTTTTATCTCATCGAAGAGAAACAATCCAACAGATAAGAATCGATTATTTAGCATATGTTTAAATGGAGGAAGTCGGGTGTTGCTAAATTTCTGGATCCGCCTCTGGAGTACCAACTTTGACTGTTCTGCCGTGATAAGGAAAAACGCCTTATGTGCATTCAAATGTTGCCAAATTTCCTCTCAGAAAATATAAATTTTTGAAGAAATATACATATGACCATTTTTCCTTGAAATTTTCAGACTTTTTAGATCAAATTTCAAAGAAAAGCCTCCGCAAAATCGGAAGAGATATTCACAAATTTGCTTGATTTTTCGAAGGGAATTTGGCAACGCCTGATGGCTCATACGGCATTCTTCCTCAGAATGGGAGTGCTGATATCTTACCTCAGTAGGATAGGCGCGACCATGGACCTGGTCTCCAAGCCAGACCGGCAGACCATCCTCTCCAAACAGACATCATCGACCCTAGCCGTGGCGAGACGCCGAAGATCCATTCCGTTGTGGTCCAAGTGATCCGAGAACTGCCTCAAGCTCGAGACGATGATATTAGGCGAGACGAGTGACAAGTATCTGTTGATGCCCTCGCGGAGGTAGTTAACACCGGCGATGTTGAAGGCGAGGAAAGCAAAGGGCTGCATGACGATGATGACGAAGTGCCAGATCTTGACGACCCAGTAGATGATCTTGGCCAGGGTCTGGTAGTGGGTCCCGGCGAAGAACCCGTAGTCGTCGAGTTTCTCGGGGGTGTTCAACGGGGTGGCGTCCCGGAAGGCGATCAGAGGGTTGACCGCGCCCAAGCCGGAGGGCGGGTAGTAGATCTTGGCGAAGTGCTTGTTGAGGTGCCGTTCTGGGTGAGCTGGTGGCCACGGGTGGAGCGGCGTGGGTGTGGTGCGGTGCTTCAAGTGGCCGGCTAAAGTGCCCGGCAGAAGGCAAAGCAGGCCTGAAAAACATACCAAGTTGAAAATAATTGAATCGGTCAGTTACAAAAGGACTCAAGCCACAGTGGTCTTGAAGCAAAGGAATTCGACAAAATTGTCCCAAAAACGGTTTGCAGGGGATGAGTCTATGGTAAGAGTGGACTTAAAATCGCGAAAAATCAAACTCTTGGCTGATCCTACTTTCGAGATACCGCAATTTGAAATTTTCATAGTGAATGCAAGTTTTCTACCGTTTTGATATGCTTTTTTATTTATTTGTCCTTGGAATCTGCGTTGATCGGTTCACGTTTTTATTCTTCGTTCGATTCAGTTCGATCGAATACATACCCTTTCGTTACATGCAGACTTCCTATCTTACTTTTTTTTAACTGAGCAATTCGCCTTCTACTGAGTCTGCAGCAATTGTTGTTACGAATATGTTGTGCGTGCTGATTTCAGTTCATTACATACTCGCCTCTCTGAAGGCGTTTTTTGTTCACAAGTATCGCAATCTGTCGGAGAACATACGAAGTAGGGATTAATCGATTCCTTCAATCTCACTTCTGTTGTTCTCCAACAGGGTGCTCTACTTTCGCACAAAAAAACGCCTTCAGGGAGTCAAATATGTAATTACCTGAAATCAGCACGCACAACATATTCGTAACAACAATTGCTGCGGACGCAGCTGAAGGCGAATTGAAAACAACCGTGTAAAATACGTTGAAAACCATGATCTCGCGTTGATCTCTCTAATTAATATTGTTACCAATAGAATGTTGCACGGAAAAAAATCTTTGGTACTTATAGCCAGATAGTAGGTGACATTTACCATCTTGGATTCCCAGATTCGACCTCTGAGAACAATTTTGCTACGAGCAAAATGATATGATGGTTAGAAACCTCAAACCGCGATCAGGTAGGCGTTGACAACAAAGATGGTAATTCTCACCAACACTGCTGAGCGGGCGCGCCGTCCTCCGTAAACGTCCCGCACAACGTTACTGAGATAGACCTTCAAAGATGGTAAACTGACACATCCGGATGTTTAGTGTATCAATCATGAAAGCAAGGAGAACCTAATATTGTGTGTTTTTAGCCATAAAGAGGAGTATTTTCTTGTGAAACGTACAGCTAAAAAAATTGAATACAAAGGTGTGCAATGTCGGGGTTCGCAGCTAGGGGATGGTGGAAAAGGGTTAATCGCGTAAATAAATTTCGAAATCGAGTAAAATGAGACTACAGTACTTATTGTGAGGTGCTGTAGTCGTATCCGACCTATCAAATTTTTGTGCCTACCTCGGGGATTGAACCTGGGACCTATCTAACCCTAGCCGAAGACCCTAACGGGATGTTTAGCTTAACGACAGCATACAATTAACAAGAAAAATTGGTAAAACATTAGTAACAATTGATAACTTTCTGCCATTTCCTTGAAATTTTGAATGTAGAAATAAATTGATTTTGAAAACTATTATTAGTACCAGGGGCCTTTGGCCGCTACGCTGCCGACAACCAATGCGGAAGAAAACAACATACGTAAAAAGTCATAGAACAACCGTGTTCAAGTTATCTCGGAGATTAATGAATTCAAATACCGTCAATGTTTTATTTTTGATCAATGTTTTTAAAATAATACACACTGTTATTCTAATGAGTTTCCGCAAATTTTCCTGAGTGATTTAAAATAGATAAAAGAAAATTTGACTTAAAACGCATAATATCCGAAATCTAAGCTCAGATTCGGCTTCCTCGTGAAAAATCGATGCAATTTCATGTATCATATGTCACCATATCACGAAGGAAAGAGATTAACGTAGGCGTGTAGATTCTAACATATCAGTCCGACGTGGCAACATGAGTGATTCGGAGTGGGTCAGCCGGTCAGCTGATGAGTAAGAAGAAGTTTGTTTTCTCGGAAACGGACGAACCAAATGCTTGACGCCGGCGCCTGGCGGCGCGGCGTAGCTCAAACGTTTGAGTTCTGTGCATACTTCCGCATACCGGCCGGCTTTGATAGAATCTCGATTACCCTCTTTTCTTTATGCTATGGTAATATATGATACATGAAATAGTACCGATTTTTCACGAGGAAGCCGAATCTGAGCTTAGATTTTGGGTATGATGCGTTTCAAGTTGAATTTTCTGAATTTGAAAATTTAAGACAGCGGACGTAGCCTAAATTGATACATCGGCTCCCATTCCATCGATTAAATTCAAATTTTTAGTCTAATTTCGAAAATTCGAAAATTCAAGGTGGCGGGCGTGGCCTAAAACGCTATCTCGGTTCCTGCTCGTCGGATTTTCGTAAAACTTGGTGCCAAGGGGAGGGGGGAGGAAAGAAATTTTCAAACACTGCTATCTATATGTCGCAGGCAAATAGTAAAATTAGGCATTTTGTCAAATGCCTAGGCAAATAGTCAAATACTAGGGGGCTATGCCCCCTGAAGGCGCTCCGCGCCATCAATGGGCCGCTTCGAGGCCCTATTTTCACCTCCTATCAGTGTTAGTTTTATTTTTCCCCTCGAAAATGACGATATGAGGTATACTTTATTTTTAGAATAAAATAATTTTTGGTTTTGATGAATATTTTAGTTCGTTTTAATCCGTTTTTTTAAATCGGTGAAAAATTTAACATCGTCCGAGTTTCTGAATTGTTGTAATAAATGCCCTTTAATTATCATTAAAACCGAGCAGAGTCAAGAATAATTAATTGCGCGAAGTCATATAGTTTTGCGGCGACTTTACCGTCGCCCGAGCCAGGGCCGGGAAAAGGAGTACGCTCCACGAACATATTACACGCTTATCAGTCACACAAGGTGGGTTGAATATGAATTCTTGAAAATTTATCAACATACTTTCCCTAATCAGCCCAGATCTGATTGCATTCTTTGGTGACTCAATGTTGGTAAAGTGTAAAAAATTGACGGGGCAGACTACTAACAAAGTACTTTAATTGAGTTATCTGAGATGGTGACCTTCTTAATCAACAAGTTTATAATTTGCACTAACAAATTCTGTAGTTTTTTTGTTTTTTGTTTTTTTGTTTTATTTTTTTCCTGCTGGTTTAATGGCTCCGTGTCTAGCACCTTCAGCCAACTTTAGACAAAGTTCAGTGTCCGTAGACATCGTGGGATCTCCATGCTCCAGGCTTTTCCCATTTTCAGGGATTGGGGCCGAGGAGAATCTGTTTCAGCAGATCTACTCGTCAATTCCATGAAAATTAGACGCCACCACCGGGATTCGAACCCGGGACCTATTGACCTAGAGTCAGACGCGCTGACCACTAGGCCAACCTGGCCGGCTTCTGAAGTCCAATGAGCCCAACCGAGTAGCATCAACCAAAAACAAGATAGGTGAAGCGCAAACGCACTCTTTGGTGCAATGAGTCAACTTGATGGAGCAGTTTACCATCAATTTTGTCTCGGTGAACAGATTTGTAATAACTAGTAGCAACTAATTGAAAATGATTGATTTCCCTAAAGACGTTGTGGACAATACAATGCCGTTGGTTATTCTATCAATTTTTTCATGTATACGGCACCAACTTTTAATTAACAAAATCAAGATGGTTATCCACGCACAGTCATTTTTTTCCATGTGTATTTAATGGTTACAAGGTGGAGAGGGAAAATCAAAGCCCCTCTCAGTTTTGTGCTGGAACTCATTAGGGTTAGAAAAATTTATTTTTGACTCTAATTATAACTTTTGGAACTTCTTGGTTTTGATTTCTCCACCTTGTAAGTTGTAACATACAGTTCGGGCCACTTCTTAGTGTTTTTTCTCTCATTCAATGGTTACTTTATGGTGGATTTTGGGAACAAATTTCAACATAAACTAAAACATGAGATATGTTTACTGCTCCGCAGCCGGTGACAAGTTATATATAATATATAATAAATATAAATTAAAAAATAAATATAAAATATATATTATATATATATATAAATATAAAATATATAAATTATATATAATAAAACGTACACAGGGGGTAACAAGGCTTATTTTCACGTAAATATCACCAAAACGCTGAAACGCTGAAAAGTCAGCCTTTCTCAGTTGGACAAAACAATAAAAAATTAAGAAAATTTAAAAAAGTAGTACGCGGCTGTAACTTTAAAAGCGAGAATAATACTGTTATACGATTTTCTCTCAGGAGAGACAATTATTCTCTCCGGGAAAGAATAATATCCTCTCGGTTTAGAAAAATGTCTTCTCGGGAGAGAAAGCTGTTCTCTCGGGAGATAAAACTACTCTCTTGGGACAGAAAACTATTCCTTGGGGAGAGAAAACCATTTTCTGGGGAAAGAAAACTATTTTCTGGGGAGAGAAAACTATTTTTTCGGGAGAGAAAACAATTTTCTAAGGAGGGAAAACTATTTTCTTGAGAAGGAAAACTATTACTATAACTATACTCAGAAGACATAACTCTCCGGAGAGAATAGATATCACTCCGGAGGGGATAGTTTGTCCTTCCCGAGAGAATATTTTCTCTGGAGAAAGTACTTGTCGCTTCGGAGAGAAATAGTATCTCTCCGGAGAGAATAGTTTTCTAGTTCCCCCCGGTGAAAATAATTGTGCCTTCATTTAAGTATTCTCTCTGGAGAAAATACTTGTCACTCCGGCGGGAATAGTTTTCTCACATTACATAACAACATAGTTCTCGCTTTGGGAGGTACAGCCAAGTACTACGTTCTTAGATTTTGACAATTTTATCTGTTTCATCCAACTGAGGAAGGCTAAGTTTTCGGCCGAAATTGTTTAATGATATTTACGTAAAAATTAGCCTTGTTATCGCTGCGTAATTTGTTTTATTATTGTATAAACTAATATATAAATTAAAATCAAATGCAAAATAAAATATACCGCGTTGAATATTTGCAGTCCTAAAAAGTCCTCCTAAAAATTTGTTGTTTCGAGGCTGTGTTCAATTCGCCTTCATCTGCGTCCGCAGCAATTGTTGTTACGAATATGTTGTGCGTGCTGATTTCAGGTAATTACATATTTGACTCCCTGAAGGCGTTTT